CCAAATTAACTTAGGGTGAGAGAGGAAACTGTGGGTGGGGACAAATTCATGCCTGGGGTGCGTATGTACATCCCTACAGATGGGGACTGATTTGTCTCCCCTATCTCCATATCTTGTCTGTGAGTACTGCCTTGTACATGATGTCCACTCTGCATATTCTTTTGGTACAGAGGAAAGGATGCAGTCTCTGCATTACTCCCTGCTCCCGTTATTGCAGCTCAGACCTTACAAGTGGTTAATATTGGGCAGTTTTTTACCCACAGGCCAAGGGTGGGCTTCACTTTTATCCCAAGTGCCTGGTGGACAGAAGCGATGCTCCCACACAGGGGGTTCCTGTTGTGGAGGGGGACGTGCATCCCTCCAGGAGCGGCAGGCCCGCTGCCCTGACTCGGGGAGCTGGGCAGGAGCAGTGACTCCCTGGAGGGGAATATCTTAAATTTGTGGCTGGTTCTCGCCCCAGCACATTGCATGTAGGCCAGCTTGCTCTTGGATTGACACTTGAAGAACACGGCGTGCTTGTAGGATTTGTCTGGAGTGCAGGGGCACAGCCTGCTTGTAGCACTTGGCTGGCAAGCAGGGTCCTGGTGCCTGTGGTGGGCCGAGGTGCCGCTGTTGCAGCTCCCATCTGGGATATCTTTGCTGGAAAACCTTGTGTGTACTCTTGTGGGAAGCACGTAGTAGGTCTCCTATTTGACACAGTACATTTTCCAGGCTCAGCCAAGCACGTCACTTGATTAATAATTTAACCGTAGTTACGGAATGTCGTCTGGGGTTCTCGGCTTCACTCCTTTTTTAGTGAGTTCTTCGAAAGCCATTTTCCTGGGCATGCCTGTTTCATTCTTTGTCCTGATAACGTGACACCTTGAGATAATCAGCACTAGCTCTGCCCTGGTCTGCCTTCAGGCTATCTGCTGCAGAAGCCAGCCCTCCCATGAAACTACCAAAACCTGACCAAAACCTGAGTCTGTTTTACCTCAGAGATGCTCATTTGAGCAGACAAGCAAGACAAAAAAATTGTCCCCTAGGCAGAGCTGGAGAAAAGGGGCTTTGTCTGGCAGGAACAGTCCGAGGCTGTGAGAGCTGCAGCCTGCGGCTCACTTGGCCTGCAGCCAGATAGGACTTTCTAAGAGCCATCCAAAATCCACCGCATGCCCGGATGCAAGAGCTCTCTCCTGTTTGCACACCGCGGGGCCGATGTCTGTAGGTGTTTTGTGTTCCCCCAGAGCACCTGGCTCATAGGCGGGAGCCCACGTCCAAGCAGATCAGCGGCGAAACTCTGTGGAGCTGCAGCTTTCCCCCTGCAAACACGAGCCCTGGTGTTTTGTTTGTCTTTGCTGTGCTCTGGGAGAAGGGGAAGTGGAAGATAAGGTTACGGCTGTCCTAAATCCACGACTTTTTACGGAGTTTAAAATCCCAGCTGAACACATCGCGTTGCTCTGTGGGGAGGAGGGTTTAATAATTCAAGTGGACTCCTTGTAGCAGTGTAGCTGCAATTAGTGCTGTCACTGGCAGTGGTGTGTGAGGATAGCAGGAAGCTGGCAACAGAGCTCTCTGCAGAGGCTTTTGTTTGTTTGTTTGTTTGTTTTCTGAAAAACACTTTTTTCATGCGAGTGTTCTTTTCTCTTTTTTTTAAAAAGGTAAACTTTGTTGGGGAAAGATGCCAAGTTGAAAGCCGCAGACAAAGAACTTCTTTCTTCTTCAACCAAATGTATATTCACTTTCTGGCAGTGTAAAATTCTCCGTTTCCTCCCGAAATTGCCCTTTCCTCTTCCTGAGTGCAGGGGTGGTTGCTGCACTGTCAGAATGGAGGGCTGCTTGGTGGCTTTTCAGCTCTGAAAGTGGCTGCTGATGCCTGCAGTGTGTGTGGAAACAGAGCGAGGAGAGGAGGAGGGTTGGTGATGGGACGACGTGCCTTGAAAGGGTAGAGGAGAGCAGTTTAGGGTTAGGTCTAAACTGTGAGGAACTGGCTGCCTAACTACTAAAAGCTTCAGCTGTAGCTGCTGCTTAAATGCCTTTTCTTTTTTAATTCTGTAAGCAAACAGGGCTGCTTTCAATGAGACTATTGTTTTCCTTATAAAAAGAAAAAAAAGCAAGATAGCTTCACGTGTTCACTGTAGTAGAGACATGTATATACAAAATATTCCTGTGATTCAAGCAGTGTTGTTTTTTCTAATGACTGAGAAGTCCAGGTCCCCCAAAACTGAATCTCTCCACTGAGACCAGTCTGGCTTGTGGTCCTTGTTGGAGGCTTCTTTGCTGGCCAGTGTTCAAAGTTATATCACAGACCATTAAAAATAAGATTAAAACATGATAACAAAATGAAAGAACTTTTTTATTTTAAAAATGGACGGAGCATTTATTTACTGTCAGACACTTCTGTTGTACGTGCACTTTCTTTTCTTCCTCACAGCTTGCTGCTTGTCAGCTTTGCAGCTGCAATTGAGAAGGAGAAAGGACACATGTTGAGGAACATGTTGAACTCCCTTCTTTACCCCAAGCTTCTCTTTTTGTCTGGTTTCGGGAAGTTAAATGTTTGCTTCCTCTGTTGCTTTTCCTGAACTGGTTTTAGGAAAATTCCTCATGTAGAAAGAAAAAAAAATCTAAACTAACTTTAAGCAAGTGGAAGAAATAAAATATCAATTGATACGAATTTCATCAGTATTGAAACAGTGGTATGTAGAAAGTGAGCAGAAATCTTTGTGTGAATTTGCCAAAAATAGCTGAGTAGCCTGTGGTCACTTTGTCTTTCAGCTGGGTCTGTTTTAATTTAGAACAACTGAATTGTGTCAGACTAAGTCAGCACTTAGGTATGATATTTTCCAGGGTGACATCCTCAGGTTAGATGCTGCTGCTGGTAATGTAGCTGTGTCTTGAAACCAGTGTACAAATGCTGTAGCAGCCCATTTTCAGCTTATGTTAGTCATCAGTCAGAGTAATGTATGCAGGAGTTAGATAGAGGGAAATGTTCTAGCCAGTTTTAGGACAATATGCAAGCAAATATAATTGACACTTACTACTAGCTTGAAGGAAAAGAAGCGCGTAGACTATGGGGAAAAAGTTCTTTCTAAGCAAAGCACTGCTTTTTGTAGGTTCATCCTTGCCTTTTATCATGGTGGGGAAGCATTACTGTCCCTTGTTCACACTTTGACAGCTGCTTACCTTTCTTTACTCAGTGTTCTTATTGCTACACGAGGGTATTCAGCTAGTCCTGAGCATCCTTTCTCTTTCTGCTTTGCTTAGTAGGGAGTAGTAGTTTATACATTTAGCCTTGCAGATATTGGGAAGCAGCCCTGGCTGTGAAGAGTGAGTCCTTGGGTATTGAAATTAAAATAAAAATGCCTTTCTAATGTGGTGATGACCTTCTTGCTGAGTCGTCTGAGAATTTTAGTACAGCTATCATTCATAGCAAGCTAATACAAGACTATGAATCCATTTTGCCATTTGTAAATGCTTTATTTTAGCCAGCTTGTTGTTTGTGCATAGTAACTGTGGTTCTCTGTTTGTTGCCTTATGTTTAGTAAATATTTTCTTTCCCTCAGTGTCTGTCAGAATTGACTGAAGCCTTTCTAATTTTGAAAGAAGTTCCAGTTAGTATTAGTGAGCATCTTGGAAGAGGCGCTGGTGTCCCTTCAAATGTATCGTGGGCTCTGTAAGAGACAACTGAGCTCAGTGTTTTCCAGCATCAGGCTTTGAGGCCACAAATGCTGCTGGAGCTGTGCAATGTGCATGCGAGAGGTGTAAGCACACCACTTCCCTCGTGGATTCATGCAATATTGACTAGTTTAATTCTTAATTTAGCCTACAGGAAGTCAGATCTTGAATTTCAGTGTTTGTTTCTGCAGGAGAGAGCAAGACGAAGAGCCAAGATCAATACTGCCTGCAAAAACAGAGCAAATCAAACAGACTTAGGACTGTGCCCCAGCTGACAAAGCCTCCTATATAAAATGGTAGATAATGCCTGATTGTTTGGAAAAGCTCATTATAATTCATTGTACAAACATTTTTGTACTAAAATAGAATTCTTTGTGTGAATAAGATGAGCAGGAATAGTTTTTTGCAATGCAGTTTCTTGGTCTGTCCAAGATGTCTTCTGACATTTGAAATGAAAACAGAAAGAGCCGCAGAATTTTTGGATATTGATGGGAACTGCACTGGGGTCTCAAGGAAGAAGATCACGATCAGGAGATTTGGTTTGTGCTCATTTTGAATAAGAAACAAGCACAAAGTTATTTGTGGTGCACGCAGACATACCATGCATTGTCAGTGTAATGCACCCAGTGTAATAAATAAAGTGGTAATTAGTACTGGCTGGCAGGAGCTCCAGCTGTGGGGCCTAGAAACTGGATGAGTGCTCTTGTCCTAGCTGGAATGCTACTTCTGAAATAGATATATAAATTGGCCAGGAAATCTACTGCATAGCAAATGCATTGCTTGCTTGTCTGGAGACTGTGTGTGGACCCGTTTTGCTAGAGCACATCGCCTGGTCTGGGCAGTTGGAATTGTCATTTGGCAGTGGCAGAGGGTCTGTGCTGGGGTACGTTTCCTTTTTTTTCTCTGTACTTCAGTGAACATTAACCCAGTATGTTTGATTCCACACACAAAGCATTCTGACAATAAATCCTGCAGGAGCTTTCACGCTGTCTGGTGACATGTGGTAGCACGTTGGTGGTGGCATGCTGAGTATGTTTGGGGCGAACAAGGAGCTTGCTTCAGGGTATGGCTACTAAAAAATATTCTATTTTCCATTTTTGTTGTGAGTTAATCACAGACCTTTCTGTTTCAGTGTATGCCTATGAGAGGACAGCTGGTCTAGCTGTAGTTTTTCAACTGGAAGAAGTGATTGTAGCAGGAGGTCTGTAAGCAGGGCTGGTAGTTCCTGCTGCTGGCTGGCACAGATGCCTGGTGCAGATACTAGGATTCTTCTGATCAATGCTCTCCTGTCATTGACAAGACAGACAGACAAGGAGATAGACTTTTTTTTCCCCTTTTTATCTCCTCAGCACTTCACAGAGTTCCTGGATGAGTTCTCTCCAGATGTCCTAGGCCAGCTCTTGAACGATCCCTTCTTGTCTGAGAAGAATGAAGTGATGGAGGTGGAGCTGTCTCCAGCATCCCCGGCGCCCCTCATCCAGGCAGAGCACAGCTATTCCCTGTGTGGGGACTCCCGGCCCCAGTCTCCCCTCACCCACATCTCCAACGATGACAACTTCAACGAAGGTAGTACTGATGTGTGCAAAATTCCTGTTGTTCCACCAAGTCCTTGTTTGCTTGCCGTGGTGGTGGAGTAATGAAAATGTTCCTGGTGGGGTGGTGATGCACCAAGGGTGCATGTGGACTTTCTGTGCTAGCTGGGATACCTACAGTGAAGTTACAGAGGGGATTTCTTTAAGTCTGTGGGCATTGTGGTTAAAGAAACTTGTCCACGCACGAGGAAGTTGTGCTCAACAGAAATCACTAACTTCTCACTGTTAACGTATTGAATTAAAATTGAAGAGTTCATCCAAAATAAATGGGAGAAGGTCCAAAAATACACTTGTTTCTGTGTATCCGAATCTGTGGCTGTTGAAGATAAATGGAGATCGATAAACCAAATGAGTAAAGTCTGGGTACTGTAGAATGGGACATGTAAGGAAGTCTTCAGCAGAAAATGCAGAGGGGAGATCTTATTGCAGTGTACAGCTCTGTGATGCAAGGATGCAGAGAAGACAGGGCCAGGCTCCTCTCAGAGATGCACAGTGATAGCACAAGAGTAACGATAGAAGTTGCAAGAAGGGGAATTCCAGTTGGATGCTAAGAAAATCCTTTTCACCATGAGTGGGTCAAATGCTTGAACAGGTGTCAGAGTCTGTCTTTGTCTGTGGACGTATCCAAGGCTGAGCCAGAATAGGCCCTGTGTAATCTCATCTGAGCTGGCTGTGCTTTGAGCAAAGGATTGGGAAAGCTGATCTCCACAGGTCTCTTCCAACCTACATCACTTCAGGTTTAATAAAAAACACCCCCCTCCCTTTAAACTAAAGTTATTTTTAGTAGTGAGTATGTGGAGCTTTCTGGTATCCCCAAATGAAAACTTGCTCATCTTATTTTATTTTATTTTTTAAATACATGTGCAGGAATGCAACTTCAGGTGCTCCAGTCTTTAAAGCTGTCTTGCTGAAGTCCTGTTTCTTTTTTTTTTTTTTTTGTCTTTATACTTCTAAGAAAAGAAGAAAACAAAGGCAAAGAATGAAAAGCATCAAGAAGCCATTGGTGATTTTGTGAAGGCAGTGACTGCAGCATTATAAATGTTGTGGGAAATGGTGATGCACAGGATATGATGAACGCCACTGGCATTTTTTAGCAGTCATGTTTAATTCAGCTGTTATAAACATCTGGAAGGGAAAAAAATGGAAATGCAGGAACGGTGGGAGGACGGGATCCAACCTGTTTGTTCTGGTATGAAGATACCTGCTGGCAGGGAGGGGAGTTCAAGTTAAAAGCTAGTGCTGGTGGAGGAGTGAGGACATGAATAACTGGCATCTCTTAGGAGTACTCGATGTGGCAGAATTTCAGCTCCTAATGATCTGTTTATGTGTTCAACATGAGGTTTACAGTGAAATGCAGTAGAGTACTAAGCTATGTCGCAATAAAAGGCAGAGAGAGATTAGTGCTTATGTCTGAGCATTAACAGGCTAAGCTGTTTATGAAGATCCACCAGGTCATGAGTTTACAAAGGCTGGCAGTTTTGTAGTCCAAAACACTCTCTTCAGACAAGGTGGGGCCTGCTGCAGATTTCACGTTTGGCTGTGTTTCGCTGAGGACAACAAGTAAAACCTGTGAGAAGGCTTTTCAAGGTGAGACCGGGTTTTTAGAGATGGTCTGGAAACATCATCTATATAAAGCCTTCCCTTTTTGTATTTCCAAACTCTTTTATGTGAATATCTTTAAATTAATACATACAGGAGATGATAGAAACTTTTATTGTGGCAGGAGAACAAGCAGAAGAAACTTCAGAAAACAAGCTTCCCCAGAAGTTAACGGAGAGAAGCTCCAAACTAGGCTAAAAGTGAGGGGAGTTCCCTTTGGGGAAAAATCCTGAAGAAATTCATACTGCTGAGACTACTGGGTAATTAATAGAGCTCTAGTCAAATGATATTTTAAAAAGCCAAGAAACATTAACAAGTGGGTTTAAAAATAGAAAATGAATGGAAAGTATTTCATCTTCTGCTCATTCTGCAGTGTTTCGTAAGAGAGGAGGAGGAGGAGGAGGAGGAGGAGTTGTTCTTGGTGTTTGGGATTTTATTTAATCTTCACCCTGGAATGACTCTCATGAACCTTTCAATGTGTATTGACTTCAAAATGTTGAAGCTCAGAGAAACACTTGAGAAACACAGAGAAACACAGTATTACAGTTAACATGGATGTCTGAAATATATATCCAAATTGCATCATGCTGATAATTTTTCAGTCCTCGAGCCCACAAGGGAGAGAGAGGGGATATTTTGCAGGTGGCAGTACTGCAGGATCTGGTGCTGAAGATTGAAAGCATCTTTGTTATTAGTCAGTGGAGGCACACAATGCTCTTGGCAACCCTGGTGAACTCCAGTTCCCTTGGCAGAGGGGCTAATATAACTAATGAGCAAAAAATTCATCTTCTCCAGATAACTGCCCCACTGGGCAGATTGCTGAGCTCTTGCTGTTGTGTTTCCATGATCATTTCCATAGATCCAGCCCTGCAGGACTGAGGGCAGAAACAGGCTGATGAGGAGGCTCGTGTGAGGTTCTTGCATGCGTGTGTGCATGCGTGGGCACTTGCCTGCGGTGGGAGTGGTGCAAAAAAGAAGAGGGCACACAGTGATCAAGCGGAGCTTGGATGCCGTTTCAGAGCTTCACCTTTAGCTCCAGAGGACTAAGGGTCTAGGGTTTTGCACAAAGCATGTGGTAAACAGGCTTTGTCCTCGTTTTACAGTAAAGTCAATGATGTGACATTTCTTCTTTATAACTCTCTTTTTGGACGCTTTGTAATTCTCCTAGCAATGAGTGCTGGTGGCTGGATCCCCAGGGTGTGCTGGCCCCTCTGTCAGTGGGAGTTTATGGGCAGGCAAATAGGGAGAACGTGCAAGGGGAGGGGAAAAGGAGGGATTTCTAGGACCAGACCCCTTAGCCTGTACGAGTAGGGAATATGTACTTGGCAAAGGCACCTGTTTTGGTCCCTGCTGGAGTTGTCATGCCAGCAGCATTCTGTCAGTGTAACCTGGAGCTGCTAGCTCCTTGCCACAAAGGTAAAGTCTCAAGTGCAATGTGCCTCGGTATATTTAGACGCCAGCTGGCTTCCAGCACGTCGCTGCTTTTAACTCAGTGCATTTTAATTGCGTGAGACTAATCTGCTGCTCAGCCCTTGGGTGCTAGCTGAGAGCTGGAGGTGGCTGGTGAGCCCTGTGCTGGCCCAGCCTTCAGGTGGGACAGGAGGAAGGAGGGTGACCCCACAGAGGGCAGTGGGGGGCCGGGAGGGTGCTTTTTTGACATGGGCCTGGTGTCCTTGCCTGCCTGGCTGCCTTTAAAAATAGCCTGAAGTTTGTTTCCTTGGTAATGGGTGCATTGCAGATGGTGGTTGTGGGTGTGCATCCTGCAACCTGGCCAAGGCTGGGGGCTCCCGTGGGAGCAGCACCTTGGGGCAGCTGGAGCAGCGTCCTGTTGGGCAATCTTAGCTAGAGTCAAAAAAAAAAAAAAGGCAACAACAATAAAAAAAAAAAGTGCTGGAGGTATAAAGCCTGGCAAGTGTGCCTAGGCTCAGCTCTTTTGAGACATCCCATTGACTGCAAGGTGAAAATGTTTATAAGTGTTCATAAGTTCAAGGTCCAGGCGCCAGTATTTCCCAATTATTCATTCTGACCTGTTTGTATTCAGATTATTTCCCTGGCTTTGTGATGAAGAGCTTTTTCAAGCACTCACAGGTTGTTGCTAACATGTGCACTCTCTGAAAGCACCAGTCCTGAAATCTCCAGCTTATGAATGCACTCGCAGGTGTAACTATTTTAAAGCAGATGTGTGCAAGACATCTGGTACGTTGTTGCTTTTTTTTTTTTTTTCCCAGAATCTATTCTTATATTCAATTTTGCATAAACTTTTAAGACTAAAGATACTTGAGAGAAAGGTTGTTTGCAGCTGGCTGACCATACACTTTTGTTTGCTGGAACCGGTCGGAGAGTAAGGATCCTGGCTTGGGGAGGGATCCAGGGGAGGACAAGAAAGGAGACTGCATCCCAGGTACTGAGAGCACCACTGGCTGCTGCCCTGCTCACAGCAGGTTTCTGCTTTCTGGTTGTGAGCCCCGGCTTTTAAGACATAACTGCAGAGTAGCTGTGAAGATGCATGGTGGTTTGTTACGAAGTGAAAAATGCTTCTTGGAAGAACATATGAAGAAGTTGGGAGGGGAGACTGAGAAAAAGGCTGGTGGGTAAGGAAACTTCTTGGACCCATTGGGGTCTTTCAGGGCACAGGTTTGCCTCCAGTAGTTGTAAATGGTTAGGGAAGAAAAGCTTTCTGTTACAGTTGGTGCATGTCTTTCTCCAGTTGTCTTTGCAGTGGTTGGAAAAGAAGGCAAGCAAGGTGAGCCAGGAATTTCAGCAGTGATTGTGATTAGCCTCCTGTATGGCTTGGGTCCAGCCCTGCCCTCTCACCATTCGTTGTCTGCTGTAAGGGACAAACTCCTTGGGACAGCCACTGCCTCTTGTTTTGGACTTGTTAGGTCAGTAGGTGAAAACCTACAGGGCAGGGGCTGCAGCATCTGTGTGGGGCTTTTAATCCTCTGGGATAAGCTACAATGATCAGACAGTGGCTAGCAATGGGTGCATTTGTTTTTTTTGTTTGTTTTTCACTTGGTGAGCCTTGCAGAGGTGAGAGAGTGAACAGCTGACTAGTCCTTAACTTGTTTTTTTCTCCTCAGATTGGGGCCAGGTGGCTGGGTGCCTTCCTTTCCTAGTCCCCCGCAGGCTCTGTTTCTGAGGCCTGTCTTGGTCCCCACCTGCCCTCCTGTTCATGCTTTCCTTCTCAGGAATGCTTTGAAGTTGCACTTGGATTTGAAGCAGCTTGCCTTGGCTAAAGGTTTGACAGTGATTTCTGCAGAAATGGCGTGTTTCTGTTCTATGCTTGCCTGTGCCAAAGCTGGGCCTGGCCCCAGAATATAACCTGTATTGTTGTGTTTTTAACTTTTATTGCTGAGGTTATGTTTTCCTGCAGTG